CACTGAATTTGTTTATTTTCTTTTAAATACATACATGAATATGCATACACCTATAAAGAGGCTTCAAAGTTAGTGGAAAATGCCTTTATCTTGAGATCCATTTTCTATGTGCTTTTTAAAGCCTCTTATATACACACACATATACATAAGTTACTACACACATATATGTCTATGTATACATATACGAGGGTAAGTTAAAAGTATTATTACCAAGCTAGCAAGACATCTGTTAAACAAAACATTCAAACGTGAAGCTATTGTTTCTCCATACGTCCTCCATTTAGGACTATAACTATCTGAAGGTGATGTTTCCAGCTCTATAACCCTTCCCCTAAAGAATCTCTTTAAACTCCAAAAGCTCACTGCCATCGATTGAGTCAGTGCTAACTCATAGCAACCCCAAAGGGCAGGGTGGAGCTGTCTCGGGAAGTTTGTGTAGAATGTCCGTCTTCTGCCAAGGAACCACAGGTAGTTTCAAACTTAAGACCTCATAGAGCAGCCCAGCTGACAACCAGTAAGACACGAGCGCTCCCCCTGCACATGACAGCACCCGGAAAGAGCAGCGTGAATATCCTAGGAAGAGTAGGGTCCCATTCTTCTGTGTTCTTGAGTTTAGGGAATAAAATTCAGTCCGAAGGGCCCAAATCAGGGCTGTAGTGCCGATGGAGTAAGATTTTCCAATGAAATTCATTTCTCGTGGGGCTTAGGTTGCTTCCATCTTTTTGCTCTTGAGAATGGTGCAGAGGTGAACATCGGTGCCTCGTGGGTCTGTTCATGTGCCATCTGCTAGAGCTCTGAGGGGTGATGCATGCAATTGCTCAGCCATATGGCCACTCTTCCTCTAGTTTATTTTGTTTTTGTTTTTCTTATGGTACCACCAAACCTTTTCTATAACAGCAGCTCCATTTTGCATTTCCATCAGCAATGGATGAGGGGTCCCGTTTCTCTATCTGCTGGAATCATGGGTTAGTTTCTGTGGGGGGGGGGTGTTTGTTTTTATTGTCCTTCTTGTTATTGTTGTTGACTTGATATTTTTTTTATTTTGGCCATCCTAGTGGGATCGACTTGCATTTCCCTGATTAAAGAGGCTGGACATTTTTCATGTGTCTGAGCCATTTGAAGAGCTTCTTTGCTGAAATATCTGTTCATGCCTTTTGCCCAGTTTTTGATTCATTTTTTTCTGTTCTTTTAAGGTTCTAGAAGTTTCCTACATAATCGAGAGGCTAGACCTTATCAGCTAGATTAAGGTGACCAGACATCCGCTTTTGGCGGGACAGTCCCGATTTTTGGTGTTTGAAAAAAGCCCTGATTTTTGGAAAGAATGCACGACAAGCTAGGGAACAGCCTTTTGGTCCATAGAGACCAAATGTTTAATCAAGACCACACACACCCTGCCCCCAGGTCAATGGTTCCCACTTTAAATCTGGTCACCTTAAGCTAGATTCTTTTCAAAGATTTTATCCTAGTTAGTAGATGGTATTTTTGTTTGTTTGTTTTTTGACAGGGGGTGGTGGTGGTGAATGCAATTCATTTTAAAAACTAGTTTTGTTAGCATATAATTAACTTGTCCCACAATTCAGAAAGCTCCATCGCATTAAGAAGGGTTATGCGATCATCACCACAATCAACTTTAGAAGATTTTCTTCTTTCTTGTATCCATTTGTGCTGACTCCCAATATCCACCACCCCCCCTTTCCTGCTCCCAGGTAATTATTCATCCAATTACTGTCTCCATAGGTCTACCCATCCTTGAAATCCTGATGCACAAAAATGTTACAAAACAAAGATGGAAAACAAAAAAGGACCAAGCAACAATGAACAAATTAAACAGAGAAAAATCTTTTGATAAAGTCGTTTGATGAGCACAAAGGTTTAACTTTTATGAGGTCTTAGTTATGCATTTTGCTTTCTGTTGTTCATGCATTTCTTATGTTTGATAATCACTCATTGGAAAAGCTGATGTCTCAAAGCTTTGTTCTATATTTTAGTTCATATCAAATTAATACATGCATGTGGTCGCAATCAATAGTGCGGTTAAAAATGAAAGCCAACGTATCCATGCTCAACCGAAAACCAGATCTTTAACTATGTCTTGCTTTCAGTTCATTTGGGCATTTCCTCTATAATAGTAAAACGTGTGGAGGTAGCTCTAGATAATGTTCATATGTTTGTTTCTAAACTCACTTTAAATAATTCCATTGACTGATAGAAAAGATGAGGATTTAGCTAATTTATATCACTATCATCCCTGTTCTCAATCCTTGATATCTATATTTTGGTTTATGGTTAATACTACTTTCTGGTCATGCTATTAATCATTGTTGCAAAATTTAACAGAAAAAAATCATTTTCCCTCAGAAAAGCCCTGATTGGTTACCTCCTAGAATCCATTGTTGGTGATGACAAGCCAGAGACCAATCCCATTCTCACTTCGCTGCAGGTGGCTTCTCAGTGATCTTTGGGAACTCTTAGAATATTTCATTTATCCTTAAGTACTTGAGATTCAAGGTGATATGACTAGATCTAGACTTCCTTTCTTTAATTGCGTGCATGCAGAGACTCGTTTTTGAGCCTGACGACACAGAGCTTTCTGTGGCTCTGGAATATTTTCTTCTGTTACTTGTTTTCTCACTTCCTTCTTTCCACTCTGTCTGGAATGTGTGTTCTGTCACAAGTTCTACTTCAATGATACTTCTGGAGTGCCCTTCTTTGTACTGGGTGTTGTGGCAGCTAAGGGTAAATAGGAGCTGCACTTGCTTGGAGAATTTGAATCTGGCTAAATTTTGTTTAAGTGAGCCCCAGAGAAGGCCTGGTGATCTTCTACTAGGAAGATTACAGCCTAGCAAACCCTGTAGACACTTCTACTCTGCCCTATGGGTTTACTCTAAGTAAAACTCTCCTTCATAGTACACAACAATAGCACATTTTGTACGGAATCCTAATCTGAGCAAACTATGTGTAGGTTTTCCTTTTGCTGCCTGTCTCTAACGCACTCATTCTTAGTGCAATTCGTACTTGTTAGGTACCACTGAGTAAGTACTGACTCATGGTGGCCTTAGGTAGATGTGAAGGCAGCTTTGCCTAGTCTTGTGCCATCTTCATGGTCGTTACTAAATTTGTTGTGAGTATTGTGTCAGCCCATTTCATTGAAGGTTTTCTTCATTTTTGCTCACCACAACCCCACCCCCTGTACACAGACACTTTGCAAGGCTGACACCTTTTCTAGCAGTTGGTCTCTCCAGAGAACACGTTTCAGGCATCTGAGCCAACATGTCACCATCATTACTTTTTTTCTTCATTTTTTATTGTTCTAAAAGATATAACACATTTACCACTTCACCCCCTTTTTTTCCAAAAGCAAACACAATATAGTGACACCAACTACATTAATTGTGTTGTACAACCATCACCAGTAATTGCTGCCAAATTTTTTTGTCACCAAAACAGAAACTCACTGACTCCGTGTCATTGAGTCAATTCAGACTCTTAGCAACCCAGAGGACAGGGTGGTAGCACTCACCCCTGTGAGTTTCTGAGATTGTAACTCTTTTTTTTAATTTAGGCTTATGTACATATAGTTTTTTTTCAGTCATACTTTTTAAAATAATCATTTTATTGGGGGCTCGTACAGCTCTTATCTCAATCTATTCATCCATCCATTGTGTCAAGCACATTTGTACATTTGTTGCCCTCATCCTCAAAGTATTTTCTTTCTACTTGAGCCCTTGGTATCAGCTCCTCATTTTTTCCTCTTCCTCCCTGCTCCCCTCTCCCTCAAGTATTCTCGATAATTTATAAATTATTACTTTGTCATATCTTACACTGTCTGATGTGTAAGATCAGACCCACTTTTCTGATGTCCATCCCCTAGGGAGAAGGTTATATGTAGATCCTTATAATCTGCTCCCTCTTTGGACTGTAACTCTTTACGGGAGTGAACAGCCTTATCTTTGTCCCTCGGAGAGACTGGTGGTTTCAAACTGTTAACTTGGCAATTATCAGCCCAATCCATAACCATTACGCCACCAGGGTTCATTCAAGCAGAAACTCAGTTTTTAAAAGAAGCTCAGTTCTTCCTCAATGGTTACTCGCTCTCCCCCCAACGCCAAACTCTCTTTTCTGCTGCTGGTATTCACAAACAAAATTTGGTCTCTACGAACTTGCCTTGCCATCATTGCTTTTAAGGATCATTTTGGTTGTATTTCGTTTAGGACTGATGTGCTTATTTTCCTGGCAGTCCACTCCCTATTTAACGTTATTTTCCAACACCACCATTCAAATGCATCAGTTCTTCTGTTTTCATTGTCCAACTTTCACATATATATAAGGTGTGGGAAAGGTCATGGTTTGTACAATCCAGGCTTACCTGAGCCTTCATAACTTTTAGTTAGTCATATCTGAATGTTTGTGGTAAGGACATGTAGAGTGTTGTGTTTCAGCAGCAAGACTGGCCCTAGAATTGAGCTCCGTCTTCTAAATAATTCACTATCGTTTCTGAAAGGGAACATATAATTCTGGGCATCACTTGGGATTTAATTGCAAGCGCTAGAAACCAATTTTGCTTAACCGAACTCTTAAAAGAGCTAAGTCTTTTATTGGCAGAATCAAAGGAAGAAGTGAATAAGCAGGTCTCAAGAAGGTCAGCTCTTAGGGCCGCTCCAGGCACGGCAAGGCAGTGGTTGGAAGGACTTGACAGTGGCGCCGAAATGCCGACAGGAGAGGGATTCTCCTCCACACCACTTTGTTCATTGTGACCTTCTACTTAAGATTCACATTTCAACGAGAGAAACGGTTTGGCATCGATCCATTCACAGGCTCAATTCTTGTGTCTAGAGCAGGGACATTAATGAAATCAGAATGGAGGCAGGGGAGTCCCCAGTGGGTGGGAAAAAATTATTTTCCTAAAAAGCCTAGGCAAAGACAGCAAATATCCAACTTGTTTTGTAATGACGCCTCCGTGTTCCCTCCTAACGCACGCACGTGTCCCTTTCTGATCCTAGTGCTGCCTCCAGTCCTCGTGCCAAGACACAGCGAATACAACCCCCAGCTCAGCCTTCTGGCCAAGTTCCGCAGCACCTCCCTCCACAGCGAGCTGCTCATGCCGCACAATGCCACCTACCCTGACTCCTTCCAGCATCCGCTGGGCTCAGCATTCCCTCCGTCACCCAGCCATGCCTTCTCGCAGTCCCCGTGCACTGCCAGCTACCCTCACTCCCCAGGAAGTTCCTCGGAGCCAGAAAGCCCACATCCGCACTCAGGTCAGTAAAAACTGCCCTAAATGGAACATAAGATGAAAATACGACCTGATAGGATGACGTGCGGTGAGACGAGCAGGATCGCTATATCTGGTACTTCACTGTTCACAAAACAGTCTCCTGAACTTCAGCTCATTAGACCCTATCCCCACTCCCCAGCCAGTGAGGACATCAGTATTATAACCATTTTGAAGCAGTTACACTGGGCCTTTAAAAAAAAAAAAAAAAAAGGTTCAGTCCGGTTTCTAGTCCTAATCCCCTGGAAGCCCACAGAAATGAAATGTATTTGAACAGTGTCCCGAGGAATTTCCAGAAAACTTTTAGGAGAGGAGTCAACACAAGATTCCACCCTTCTCTAATCCCAGTAAAGAGCTCTGGAACGGCTCTTTTCAAGCGCGATCCCTGAGTCCCGCACTCTCGTCGACAGACTGAGTGCCAAAGAGAAGCAAGCGTGTTTCTATGGGAGATTCTCGGCCACTCAAACACGTTTGGGGGAATGAAGCATGCCCAGCGTCCAGCTTCCAGGAACATTTGTAGGAGCTCAGGAAAAAGGTGCACGTCAGAATCGCGTTTTCTGTGCCTAGAAATTGGAGTGGACTTTGGTTTATCAATGTGGTGTTTCCTCAGGGTAGGAGTGGGGGGTGTCAAGGTACTCGGTGGTTGCTTTTTCTACTTCATAAGGGTTCCTGAAAGGAGACAACTGTGTGAGGGTACCTGGTGAGGGGAAGAGAGAGGTGGAGGAACTATGCAAAGCCCATGTGTTCAGTGGTGACAACCCCTCCATGGGAGAATGATGTGGCAGGCTGTTCCTGTAAATATGGCAGCCTTGGAAATTCTATGGGATGGTACTCTAAAGTCCCTACCCTATCAAGTCATTATGAGTCAGAATCAGGGGAACAGCATCCAAGTCTGGTGTGAGTTGGTTTTAATCCAAGCAAGATTTGGCCTGAGAGCAAGCAACACGGAGGATGAGTGCTAGGCCTAGTTGCCTTTCAACAGAGTGTAACCTCCATGGGGGCGGAAAGTGAGGCCCCGGCTCCAGCCAGTGCGGTTCCCCTTTTTGCTATATGAAAGTAGGGCAACATCTTGGAGAGAGAGCTATTCAGAAAGTATTGGCTGAATTGGAAAAGCATGTGGAGAAAAAAGAGAGAAGGCTATATTCCCCTGCGGAGAAGGGAGAGTGAGTGACGTGTATACCTATTCCTCACTTACAGGCATAGGTAAACTCCAAAGACTAGGCTAGGTCGTTATGGGGAATTCAGCATTATGTGAAAATGGAGGATGACCACATCATCCCAAAGAGGATGACTATCAATTTACAATCGCCAAATTGCATAGCTGCCAAGCCACTGAAACTCATGGCCCAGCCAAGTTAGGTGATACCGAACGTCGAACCTTCACGTCAGTGGTCCTCTGGTCTGGAGCCTCAGCGGCTGTTACTGCCAGATGTGCATTGCTGGTGCACAAGATAGATGGATGGTAGATTATTTTGCTGTTGTTGGAAATGCACAATATCAGATAGCAATAAAGCCGGTACGTGAGGAAGGGCTGTGTTGCCATAATTGTTACCACACCTACATCGTGAGACGCTGTAGAAGCAGTTGATCTGTTCTCATGAGTGTGAGGCAAATAATACTGTGAACTAAAAAGTTGCTAACTTTTTAAATGATATTTATTTCCCTTTGACGGTGTGCAAGCCTTACTTAGTGTGCTAAAACCTGAATTCAAAGATGAATAAGACTTGCCCCTGTCCTCAAAGAGTTTACAAGTCGTGGAAAGTTCGAGGGAATTTCCTCTTCTCGTTCAGTTTAATTCAGTACTAGGTTAGCAATTTATATCTATGACTCCTGTTTATCACATACTGTGTTATGTAATTGCTCTGTGTCTATTTCTCCCATTCACCTGTGAGCATTGTGTCTTCTCTTGAATGTCTGTCACTGAAGGTACAACGTAGTGTCTCTTTGTTAGTATCTTGGTGAGTAAATAGATAAACGTACAGGCATTTGGGACATGGGACCAGATTTCAGGAACATACAGCTATTGACTTGAGTGACCCATTAAGTCATACCTGAGCACCTACTAAGTGACAGAAGCTCTGGTAAGTGCAAAAGATACAATAACGATCGGGACAATGGTTTCTGACTTTCAAGAGTCAGCAGGGACTGGTAAAAGGATCATGTAACGGATGTCAGAGTAGGGTTCATGCTGTAGCGATCCAGGAGCAGAAGGATAAAGACCTGGACGAAAGATGGCGCATGGGTTGGGAAAGAAGGCAGTGACTTTGAGGAGGGAGTCTTCACTAGGACATCATGTGAGTTGAAGGCCGTGGTGCTGGGAGGAAGCAGAGTGGGATGAGAGAGTTGAAGGCTGAGTTGTGGCTGAGTTCACTGAGAAAGGGACAGGGACAAAGTCATTAGCAGACAGAGCCACACTCACAGACACTAAATCTATGCTTGAACAATGGCCCGGGCCATTTGGGTGTGCCTAAAGTCATTTGGAGCCTCCCCACGTCCTATAGCTTGCTGTTCTTCATTACTACCCACCCATGAAGGACAAGACCTCAAGCACGATGCTAAGTGGTTTCTCATGGAGGGAAAAGCCCTTGCATTTCAAACAGTATAATTCTTTTCTGAATGCAGATAACATGCTCAATTGCTAAATCAAAAGGTTGGAAACTGTAGCCTGCTCAGAAGTGCCTTGGACTTGAACCTCCAACCTTTGGGTTTACTGTCCACGGTGGAGGGAATCACCTTTTTCAGTTTAAAGGGTGTTTTGTTTTGTTTTTGTGAACAGAGCCATCGATAAAATTGAAAGGGCTTTTTGAGATTAAATGGTCCAGCCCCTTCATTTTACAGTTAGATTTCCTCCAGAATTCCCAAAAGAACTGCCGAATGGACAAAGTTTTTACCAGGGTCATAGCTAAATTCTCTCACAAGTTCTAAGGAGTGCTTTAACTATGGTTCCTGATGGGACCCAGGAATCACACAGATTTCTCTATTCAACCTCTGGCCCTTTCAATCCAGGGAGCAGAGGGCTTGTTTTAGTTATCTTGTACTTTTATACCAGAAATTAAGATGACTTTCACAAACAAATTTATGTCCTCACTGTTTAAGAGGCTAGATGTTTGAATTCAGAGCACCAATTCTAGGGGAAGGCCCTCTCGGTGTCGGTAGACTTTGGAGGAAGGCCCCTGGTGGGTCTTCATGTGGCTTGGCACCTCTCCTCCCCCATCTCTCCTTGCTTGTTTAATCGCTTTTATATCTCATAAGATATATCTCATAAGATATAAAAGACTTCAAACACCAAACCCACATTAAACTCACTGTCATTGAGTCCGTTCTGACTTACAGTGACCCTATAGAACAGAGTAGTACTGTCCCTGTGGGTTTCCGAGGCTATAAGTCTTTATGGGAACAGAAAGCCTCACCTTCCCACCCACAACCCACCCCCGCCCCCCACAGCCCTGCCCTGTGGTTAGTAGACCAACTTGCAAACCATTATCCCACCAAGGTGTAATAAAGACAAGCTACTCCTAAGTGAGATTAAAACCGTAAGCATGGAACTTAAGATTCACAACACATATTTTTTGGCAATATAGTTCAATCCTTAACAGATAGGGAATCTGTATTTTTAATCATCTCTACTAGCAACTTTTTTACATCCTTAGGTGTGAGAATAACTGAAGCAGAAAATTCAGTTCAGCAAAGACAGGCCCATCCAGCATCCCTTGCTCTTCAATGCCACCATTCACGTAACAAGACTCTTTCGGACTGACTTTAGGAGTTTATAGAGAAGAAATCAATTGTTCTGAGATCCTCACACTTACAAGGCTTTTACCTACTGGATGCCAGATGATGAGTCTCCTCGCTGAAAATCTGTATCAGAAAGGACGGCCTTTCCCAGCCTGCTATGGGCGCTAAGTATTAACCTGGCTTCAGCAATTCTGTACTTGGGAACGTATCTGGAACTGTTTCAGGGCAGAATATTCCTGTTGCCATTGCTCGATCCAGAGCAACAAAGGGGTTAAAAACTAAGCTCGCTTCAATGGCTTAGCTTTCTCGGTGAGTTTGGCAAGCCAGAGAGCACATTAATCTACTGCTGAGAATAGCCAAGTGAATAGCTCCTAGAGAGAAAAATCTGATCGTGAAGTAATTTGAGCTCGGTGACAACTCATGAAGTGAGAGAGAAAAGTAATCAACGTTTAGCGAGGCTCTTAGAACAGCTGGTTTCTTCTGTAGGACACTCACAATGTCACTTCCAAATAGCCGGTTTGCATGTATCGGTTCTCTTAGCACTTACCCAGTCCGCTAAGCCCGTGAGTTTAAAGGCAAAATAACAATTTTAAGAGGTTACAGCCCACTGCCTCTGTGTCATTAATGTATCAGTTTGCCAATTCCTTTCTTGTAGTTGACTCCCCACCGGGCCTTATCATGTCATCTGAAGCCGCAGGGACCCAGAAGGGCAGGCCTGCAGATGCCACAGCTGATAGTCACTTAGCACTGTCCATGCCTAATGGAGGTAAATTGGCTGATGGACAGCTAATTAGAGCTGTTTCCCAGGATTATTCCCTAATAATCCAAATTTTAAAACTGTGCTGGCCTGCCATTGCACACATTTTTCAGGGGCAGATCACGTGACTTTCCACGTTCACTCTGCATTGCTCAGTAGCATGCTGTGACTGTGTTGCTGATCCCACTGCGTCCTATGATGCGTTCATGGAGCACTTTGAAATGTGTACTTGTTGGTGCTGAGTCTGGACTGGGTCCTTCTGAAGACGGGCAGTTTTGTGTCATTTGTGTTTTTATTATAAGTTTATACTAGTGTCATCTATTTGGCTAGAGGGGTTCGCTACGTGCAATATGTGCAAATTGAGGGGCAAAGGGGAGCTGATAGCCGTGAGGACTGGATGACCCCACTCGAGGGGAACAGATAACAGAATGGCAGGTGAATGGATACATTGGATGGTGTAAGCTACAGGAAATAATAATATTATAAGAATAATGAAAAAAAAAGAATAATGGTTCCTGGGGGGATAGGATGGGGAGGGAGGGGATCAAGGGGAGCTGATATAAAAGTGTTCAAGAAGAAAGAAAATGTTTTGAAACTGCTGGTGGTAACAATTGTAAAATTATGCTTGATCTAACTGAATTATGGCTTGTCATAATATCTGTAAGAGCTCCCAATGAAGTGATTCATGTAAAAATATGTGCCAATTGGCTTTTAATAAAATTTTACTTGCATTTAATAAATTTTAATGAACTTTAATAAATGTTACTTGTATTTGCTCATTGTTGTGTGCCACCAAGCCCAGTCCAACCCAGAGTGACGCTTGATGGTGGATCGCTGGGCTTTCAGCCTGTGGCCCTTTCTGCTGCCGTGAATAGGGCTGCTATGAACATGGGGGTGTGTATATCTGTTCCTGATAGGGGTTTTATTTCTGTAGGCGGGGGGAGAACCACATAGGGGGATTGCTGGACCAGATGGTATTTCTATCCCTAGTTTTTAGAGGACGCACCATATAGCTGGTCTTTCTACAACAGTGATGGCCTGTACATTGCTCCCTTCCTGTCGTCTTTTGTCCAGACCCTTCCTTGGTCATGAATATGTTGACAAATTCTCTAGTCACAGGAGAGTAACAAGGATCATGGTCTCGCACCACCAAATGGCTAACCACAAACAGCTCCTCATAAACAAACGGATTGTAAGAGATCACAAAGCCACAAACTTAGTCTTGCAGCCAACTGGCTGGTTAAGAGCATTCATCTACCTTTCTTGGTGGGGTCGTGAAACGTGAAGCCAAGGGCGCCTGGCTTAATGTGTCATGCTTTCCTTGCAGACTTCCGGCCAGTGTGCTACGAGGAGCCGCAGCACTGGTGCTCCGTCGCCTACTATGAGCTGAATAACCGGGTTGGGGAGACCTTCCAGGCTTCCTCCCGGAGTGTGCTAATAGACGGATTCACAGACCCTTCCAGTAACCGCAACAGATTCTGCCTTGGACTTCTCTCCAACGTGAACAGAAACTCAACCACAGAAAATACTCGGAGACACATAGGAAAGGGTAAAAGCAAATACGAAATCCTTTATACATCCTTCTGAGCTCAAATTGGAGACAGAAAGGAGCTGCCTCTGTGTAAGCAGCCAGAGGTGGTTCGGCCATTCTTACGGTTCTATCAGACCCGTGGGCTTTCGGGATCTTGGTCTCATACCATCTTCTGGGAGGTGAAGAGAAGCAAGATGGTAAATATGAAAGTATTGAATGGAAGTTGTTACGTCTTCTTTCAGCATTGTCTGAATATTAGCCAAGATACCCCCAGATGGAATTACCAGCTCATATCAGGGGAAGTTACCTTTTAAAACTTAGCACCCCCAACAGTTAAAAAGGAGCCCTGGGGGTGGAGTAGTTACATGTTTGGCTGCAGTTTGAACCCCTCAGCTATTCCGAGAGAGAATGATGAGGCAAGCCCACAGAGGCAGTGTTGCCCTGTCCTGTGAGGTCACTGAATCGGGATAGACTGGACAGCAGTGAGTTACCCAAAACTCCGAACTCACTGCCATCGAGTTGTTTCCAACTCATAGTGACCTGCTAGGACAGGGTAGACGTGCCCCCGTGATTTCCCATACTGTAACTCTTTACAGGAGCAGAACGCCTCGGCTTTCTCCTGAGTGTGCACTGGTAGATTCAAACTGCTGACTTTGTGATTAACCCAACGTATAACCCCTACGCCACCAGGGCTCTGTGTTAAGAAGTTAGTCTTTCTTGTTGTCTTTGATAGATGACTGAGATTAGCCTGAGTCCAGGCCTATTGTTATGACAGAGATAATTGAGCACAGGTGCCCGGGCAATCATAAGCCTGACTAATGATACCTTTTTTTTTTTTTTAATGAATTTTTTATTGTGAATTAGGTAGGGGGGTTTACATTTCATACTATCAGGTCTACATTCAGCAGTTAAAACTACTCATCAACCCCCAACCCCGTATTCTAACCCACCCCCTCCCCTGATTTCTCCTTTCCCTCTTAGGGACCTCTAACCTCCTTTACACCCAAGTCTGTACCTCTCAAGTTTCTAGTCCACTGATGCATCTTCCCGCCCTTCCCCTCCCTCCCCTAATAGCCGGCAAAGTCTGCTCCCATTGGTATGCACACCCGTGTCTTGCTTTCTATCCTTATAGTAGTGGGCTGAGGATCCCTGGGGACATAGTGGGCTATGGGTTGGGCTGCTAACCACAAGGTTAGCAGTTCAAAACCATCAGCCACTCTGGGAGAAAGATGAGGCTTTCTACTCCCATACAGAGTTAACAGTCTCGGAAACCCACAGGGGCAGGTCTACCAGTCCTGTAGGGTCACTATGAGATGGAATCGACTCGATGGCAGTGCGTTTGGTTTCAGAGTGAGTAGTGGCCTCCTACAGTGCTGAGGTTGGCCCACTTCATTCCGCATAATACTCTGCAGGTCTGTCCATGTCCGTGGTTTCGTCACTGTTTTTTAGCAATGCATAGCATTCCATTGTGTGTATGTAACAAAGGCTCTTAATCCATTCTTCAACTGATGTGTATTTGGGCTGTTTCCAGCTTCTTGCTAGTGTGAACAGTGCTGCCGTGAACATGGGAGTGCATGCATCTGTTCATGTTATGTCTCTTACTTCTTTACGGTATAGACCCAGCAGAAGTAGTGCTAGTGGCTACTGGTGCCTTTGAAGCCCATCGTACTTGCATGATTAATAGTAGCAAATTCAAGCTACTGACTTAGGATCTTCAAATTATTTAAATATACAAGGGGTACACCCTCGCGAAAATAGAATCATTTTCCCCAAAGCTACGTGTTTAAAAGTTTTTTGTTTTTTGTTTTTAACATTTTATTAGGGGCTCATACAACTGTTATCCCAATCCATACACACATCAATTGTGTAAAGCGCATTTGTACATCGTTTCTCAAAACATTTTCTCTCCATTTAAACCCCCGACATTGGGTCCTAATTAAAAGTTTTTTTACAAAACAACCTTATCACCTTCAAAGTACTCTCCATTACACTTAATACATTTGTCAAATCTGCAATTCCATTCTTACAAACATTTTTCAAACTCATCTGTTTGTATGGCTGACAGCACCTCCCACGTTTTTTCTTTACTTCTACTTCGTCAAATTGCTATCCTTTCATGTCTGTCTTCATTCATGGAAACAAAAAGAAATTGCACAGAGCAAGGTCAGATGAGTAACGTGTGTGGGGCAAGAGAGGCATGCTGTTTTTTGCCACAGCCTTGTGCAAACTGAGATGACCACATAAGCTGGTGCTTTGTCACGGTGGCAAAACCAGTCCTCCGACTGCCACAAATCAGGTCTTTTTTGTCGCACACAGTTAGGTTATCTTTTCAAAACTTCTAAATAGAAAGTTGATTAACAGTCTGACTGGTGGAACAAAATCCAAATGCACTGAATCAACCTTTTCATCCATTTGGGAAGTTGACCGAAGTCTAGAATGAGGTTTGTCATCATCGACATTTCCCCTTTTTTGAAATGAGAAAACCACTTGTACACTTGAGTTTTTCCCAAAGTGTTGTCCTTGTAAACTGTGTTCAACATCACAACAGTTTCTGCGGCATTCTTACCAAGCAGGAAACAAAATTTCATAGCCACACCTTATTCTCTTAAATCGGCTATCATAAAAAATGAGGTTCGAGCAAAACTACTTTTAGGAAAAAATTCACTGTGACAAGAAAACCTTCCCAGGCAATGCTACTGGGTGCACTAACTCAGAGCAAGTTGCTCAATGCTTGCCTAGCAGAAAAAAAAGACATATAACGAAGCTCCTCTCCACCTAGTACAATTCTGTTTTTTTGGGGGGATACCCCCTCATATTTTTTCTTATTAGCATAGCTCACAGTCTGAGAGGTACCTTGTTGTCCACTTCAACATTGTAAAGATCCTGGGATTATGTCAGATTACTCTGTATTCACAGAATGTAAAGGACCTTAGGAGTAAATTGTTCTCTGCCTCCCCACCCCACAACCAGGGCTTAAACCACCCCCAAAAGGTACCTGCAAGCCCTTTCTTTTGTATTCCATGGGGAGAGTTCTTCTATCTCTTGCTAATACATTAAAATATTCTTCATAATATTCCTTCCAAATGCCTCCTGTTGTGGTGAATGTACAAGCCATTGAGTAGACACAAGTTGAGTTCAAGGGTCCATGTTGACATTGAATGGCTCTGTAATGGGAGAGTAACTGTATGCTCACTTATAGTCTCTCTGGTTCCATAGAGGCTTTGAGGTGGCTTTCAATAAACCTTTGCAATGAAAGAATAAACTGCAAAAATAGGAAGTGAAAAATTAGGGGATAAGAAGAATGCAAATACACCATCCAGAAGGGTTAGCATCCTGATTGCACTGAACATTTTGCTTTAAGTTTCTTTGATAAGAGGGCAGAAAACAGAAATTCAGTCAGTCTGGTCATTTTTATCCAAAAGGGAAAACCATAGTAGTCTTATAGGAATACATTTACTTTGACTGGATTCTTAAATGTTTCAAGAGTAGCTTTATTTTCAAATGATTTTCAGAACAATTTTCAGTGAAATTTAAAGAAAAAACATTAGAATGTAATGCTATGGAGCTTTTTGTTTCGGGGCTGAGATTGGTCCGTGGATCAGACTTCTGAGGGTGCCCCTTGACCCAAAGGTAGAGTCTAAAGTGCCTATCCCCAAATCAGATCCATTGCCCTAGTCAATCCTGACTCATTACCCACCTCTAGGACAGAGTGCAATTGCTCTCAGGGATTCCAAGACTGAAAAACGATGTGAGCAGGCAAGGACATGGTGCTGCTGTGGAGCCTACTGGTGGATTTGCACCACAGACCTTAAGGTTAGCAGCCCAATGCTTAAGGAGTATTAAATACCTCCTGGAACCTCTCTAGGGAGCTCTGGTGATGTAGTGGGTTATGAGTTAGGCTGCTAACTGCAAGGTCAGCAGTTCAAAACCACCAGCCACTCTTGGAGAAACACATGACTTTCTGCTACGTAATGATTTGTAGTCTTGGAAATCCACAGGGGCAGTTCAATCTACTCTGTCCCAGAGGGTTGATAGGAGTTAGAATTGACGTGATGGGTGTAAATTTGGGGTTTTGGTTTTGGGGACCTTTCTGACTATGGCCACATTTCCGAGAGCATTGGAACCAGTGCCCTCTGCCAGGCTCTCCCCAGGCGTTCTCTGTCCTCAAGACCACGGAAGACTAAACGGGGCACTGGCAGTCAGACCCGGCAGACCCCCATTGTCTCAGGTGCCTGTGGTCCTGATAACGCCCCCACGCAGGACTCTCTTGAGATGGGTGAAGTCACCCACGAATGCAAGATTAAGGCGACTGGAAATGCAGGCCACCGTGTGGGTGGAACTTGCCTGGATTCCACTGGAAAGCTCAGGGCCACTTTCTCTTCTTTTTAAAATCATCTTATTGGGGCTCCCACAACTCATCTCAGTCCATCCATCCATCCATTGTGTCAAGCACAGTTGTAAATGTGCTGCCATCATCATTTTCAAAACATTTTCTTTTGACTTGAGCCCTTGGTATCAGCTTTTCATTTTTCCCTCCCCCCCCTCCCTCCTTCATGAACCCTTGATAATTTATAAATTATTATTGTTTTTACATGTCTTACACTGACCGATATCTCCCTTCATCCACTTTTCTGTTGTCTATCCCCTGGGAGGGGGTTACATGTAGATCATTGTGATTGGTTCCCCCAGTCTCCCCCCACCTTCCCCTTACTCTCCTGGTATGGCTACTCTCAGTATTGGGCCTGAGGGGTTTTATCTGTCCTAGATTCCCTGTTTCCAGCTCTTATCTGTACCCATGTACATGCTCTGGTCTAGCCAGATTTGTAAGGTAGAATTGGGGTCATGATAGTGGGGCTGGGGGGGGGGAAGCATTTAAGAGCTAGAGGAAAGTTGTATGTTTCATTGGTCTTATATTGCACCCTGACTGGCTGGTCTCCTCCCTGAGATCCTTCTGTAAGGGGATGTCCAATTGCCTACAGATGGGCTTTAGGTCTCCACTCCGCACTTCCCCTCATTCACATGATAGGATTTTTTGTTCTGGGTCTTTGATATCAGGTCCACTTTCTTTGAGACATTTATTATTATTACCAGAAATTAGAGTAGGCTGTAGGCTTGTCGTAATAGCTTTGTTTCCCACATCTCTAACCAAAGCTCCTCAAGTACAGTAATTATTTTAATAGCAAGTTTTATTGAGCCAATAATACTCTTATGTATGGAAATAAACATTTTATTATACCGGTAATATGATGTCACTTCTAAGCATTAATAAAGAAATGCCTGACATCATATCATGTAGGCAGCAATAAGAACTGCGCATATTCATCTTTTCCTATCGCATTTTTAAAAAAGTCACATAAAATACAAAGTTTACAAATAAATGACTTCCAATGAGGTGGAATTCTAAAATATGTATGAAAATACGTAATGAGACTAGGAAACACATAAGTGACTTGTTTTTATAAACGGACTCAGCTCACTGCCATCCAGTCAGTGCTGCTCACAGCCACGCAACAGGTCAGAGTGGCACCGCCCCTGAGGGTTTACGGGACTGTAACTCTTTACCGGGACAGAAAGCCTCAGCTTTCTCCCTCAGAGTCGCTGGTGGTTCCAAAATTCTGACCTTGCAGTTGGGAGCCTAATCGGTAACCACTGTGCCTCCAAGCTTCCTAGGTGAACAGTGAAGTGCAAAACATGTAAAAACATTGACAACGATGATTTTCCTTTTTAGCGATTAGTGCTTCCTGCGTGTCCAAAGTAAGCCAGTTGGAGTCTTACCGTTCTCATCTCTGAGGAGCACTTTTATTTTTTCCAAAACAGATCTGGTTCAATTTTCTGTTGCAGAAGTGCCTCCGGACCTTCTTACAACCTGACAACGAACGTCTAAGCAGTCCAAAATGTGGTAGTATAGTGCCTACATGTTGGGCTGCGATCCCCAAAGTCACCAATTCAAAACCACCAGTTGCTCGTCAGGAGAAAGATGGGGTTGTCTATTCCCATAGAGAGTTACCGTCTTAGAAACACACAGACAGTTCTATCTTACAGGGTTGCTATGAGTTGGAGTCAAGTCAATGGCAGTGAGAGCTACAAATTTGGCCAACGAGGGTCTGAGAACCGTAGAGGCTATTGTGTTAAGTTCTATTATTCTTTAATTTGGTTATTTTCATTTTGAGGAGGTCCAGGGTATGTTACCATAGGCACATTCTGGATCATTTCTATGAACACCTGTGAAATTCAGAGTGATTCTACTTACAGTCACGTTGACACTAGCACTGGAGGTTTGTTTTGTTTCATTAAAAGTTAGAGAAAAATTGTTCTGGTATTTAGTATTCAGTGGAGGAGAAATTGATTTTATCTCTACCCAATGGCTTGCTCTAGATTAATGTTTTATCTCAAATGCAGATGTTTGAAGGGAAAACAATCATCTAGAATTTAATTTAGGATGAAAATTAATTTGAACAACAATTTCAGAATACTCTGTTGCCCCTTAATTTCAAGACAAAAGAGATATGTAAACTACATTTCGGTTATGAATCTTTATACTGTTAGATAATGGAAATGCAGCAAACAAATCTCACGGTCGAGAGTAAAATGAGGCACGAGTATCTGATTTAGAGCCTCAGATGTTAAACTTTAAAATGAAGTGACTCTCCTGGAGGCCTTTATTTAAAGAAATGGATTTACAATTGTTAGTAAAACAAACGTCCAAGCTTCACTTATCGTTTCACTTGAAGCAGGTTAAGTGTAGGCGCCAAAGTAACATTCTCATGATTTTGTGTCCAACTTTTATTTTTATTTTATCTTATGTTTGTGTGTTTCAATATTTTTATTTATATACGCACATGGATATGAAGTACAGTTTGATGTTTTTTGCATCATATATGTATTTTGCATCAAAACCTTATCTTTTAAGCTTTTTCCTGTGAATTAGGCGAAGGCTTACAGAGCAGAGATCATCAATGTTGCTCTCTTGAACTCAGCAAACCTCCCACTGTCTTGCCCTCGAGGGTCCATCATTTGTGCCCATCTCCCTCTCCCTCTTCCCTGTTGGTTTCCCCTTCCCCCTAGTTTACACCAGATGACCCCTAGCATGTGACCTCCCCATCCCTCCCTCCCCCTTCCCTTCCCATTTCCCAAGAACCATCAAAGTCTGTTTCTTTCAGTGTGAAAACCATCTCTTGACTGTATAATAATGGTTTTAGACAATATTTGTCCTTTGTGCTTGGCTAATTTTACTCAGCACGATGTGTTCCAGGCTAATCCGTGTTATGAAGTGTTGCGTAGATTCATGGTCATTCTTTATCTGCGTTATGTGTATGTGCTGAAGTTCGTTTATCCGTTCTTCCACCAATAGGTACTTGGGTGGTTTCCATCTTTTCGATAGTGCAATAGTGCTGCAGTGAGCTCGGGTGGGCATCGATGACTCCGTGCTGCCGTCTTACTTATTTAGGCTAGGCACCAAGTGGAGGGGTTACTGGCTCCTAGGGTGTTTCTAGTTCCAGCTGTTGGAGGAACAAGCACCCTCTCTCTGGCCACCGTGGCTGTCCTGGTTTACAGTCCCACCCACCGGCAGTGGATGGGATTCCAGTCTCTCAGCACCCTCCCCAGCATTTTTTGTTTTCTGCTTTGGGGAAGGAACTTTGTTATCAATGTGGGAGTAAGGTGGTATCTCATCGTTTCAATTTACATCTCCTGAATCTCGAAGGATCGTGAGCATTTCTTCATCTATTGGTTGGGGGCCCAAATGAACATGTCCTGTACATGTCCTCTGCCTATTTCAAATTGGGGTGGCCGTCTTTTTCTTGTTGAGGTGTTGAAGTTTGGAACCTTCTGTTTGAATGACCGAGCATAAGATTCAGGAGCCCTGCTGATAGCGTTGGTTATGCGCTGGACTGCTGCTCACAGAGTCAGACATTTAAGTCCACCAGGTGGCTCCCAGGGAGAAAGGTGAGGCTTTCTGCTCCCACAGGTTCACAGCCTTGGGAACCTTAGGGAGCAATTCAGCTCCGCATGTGGGCTCATGATGGGTCGGGATCTACTAGAGGGCGATGTGATGGGGTTGGAAGCATTAGATGGGATGGGGGACAGGAAGAGGAATCTATGGGCACTTACTTCACCAGTCCCTCCTCGAGTAAAAGATGAGACTCCTCCTCCCGTAGAGAGTCACAGTCTTGGAAACACGGCCAATCCCACCTTGTCCTAGAGGGTTGCAGTGAGTCAAAATTAACTCAATGGCAGTCAGGGGTTTTGAGTTCAAAAAGTTTTGGGGGTGGGGAAATGGAATGCAAAGATGATGGAGTTTTTCCGTGGTTTTGAGGCCCCCTTGTATCTGATTTTTTTAAAACAGGGATTGTAAACATTTCCTTTCAATGGGTTCATGGGAAAAAGAAACAAATTATGATTAAAAGCAGTAAGCATGTGGCCACCTGCCTTACTAACATGATCGGTGATATTAAAATTAACTGCATAATAATCACAGCTCTTGAGGCCCCAAGAATCAGTGAAATATTGGTTTCTTCTCGATGGTACCTGGCTATGACTGCTGACTGCCGTGAAACGTACCACAGTAGAGGTGCCTCAACAGACCGGGAGAAATACTTAGAACAAAACTCAAAATCCTAAAAAGACAAGGCTTTCTGGCCACATAGAGGTTTCTGGTGGAACCCCAGAGGCTGCGGCTCTTAGTCACAGTCACCCCCCGGGTCTGGAAATGAACTCACCCCTGTGGCTCAAGTTTGACCATACAACTGAGCCACACTGGGGACAGGAGCACCGGGAGAGACCCACTCCTCAGAATGAGCAGCCCTGAGAGATCCAAAGAGCAGCCTTTGCCCCAAGGACCAGGTTGAGGGGCCAGAAAGGGGTTGGGGGGCGGATAAAAAGGAATGGAAACAGGAAACCTGGGGAGGAAGTGGGATTAGCGTCATTACAGTGCTGGGGTTGCAGTTGATGACATGAAACAAAATGTGTATGAATTGTCGAGTGGAAAATGACGTGTTCTGTCGACCTTTGCCCTAATGCACAGGAAAAAGTTAAAACAAGAAAAGAAGTCATAAATATCAAAAAACAAACAAACAGTCAGTGAGAGAGAGAGGAACAGTTTAAATGTAATGCACACGCAGCCCTGGCCTTTCTTTGAAGGCTCTGTTGCCGCCCCTGCAGGTGTTCACTTGTACTACGTCGGTGGTGAAGTGTACGCCGAGTGCGTGAGTGACAGCAGCATCTTCGTACAGAGCCGGAACTGCAACTACCAGCATGGCTTCCACCCAGCAACCGTCTGCAAGATCCCCAGCGGCTGTAGCCTCAAGATCTTCAACAACCAGCTCTTTGCTCAGCTACTCGCACAGTCAGTCCACCACGGGTTTGAAGTCGTTTATGAGTTGACAAAGATGTGCACCATCCGGATGAGCTTTGTTAAGGTGAGGGTGCTTTCCAGGGAGGCCTTCACGCGGCCATCATTGCCTGTTTCTCAGCCAGGCCACATGTAGATTCAGAAAGCTGCACAACTTTACAGGAAATCAATGGTCCCTAATAGTGTGGCGACTTTAAAAATATATGTGCTTGGCAAATATAACTACCAATGATCGGTTTAAAGGGCATGGAAGGTAAATAAATGCCGGAAGCTTATTTTAGGGGACGAGGGACTTGAGAGCATAGTTAACATCCCACTCAACTCAGGTTTTTTTTTAAATTGATTCTGGTGCTCATTTAGAGCTCTGGTGACATAGTGGTTACTGTTTGGGCTGATAACCCAAGGTTAGCAGTTCAAAACCATAAGTCATTCCTCAGGAAAATAGAAAGATGGGGCTTTCTACTCCCGTAACCCACAGAGGCTGTTCTCTTTTGTTCTGAGGGTTGATATGAGTAGGAATTGATTTAAAGGCTATGAGTTTTTTTTTGGGGGGGGTGTGGTTTGTTTATTACCACAGATATTGATCTTTATGCGTTCCAATTTTTTTTTATACATTCCCATTTTCCTAGACTCATACCATGCAAAGATCCACTGGAAATTTTAAAATGCCCTTTTAGCCTTCAGAGTGTGTAGTGGGCCATGCGTTGAGCTGCTACCTCACTGAGCAGTTCAAACCCAACAGTTACTCCGAGGGAGAAAGTTGAGGCTGTCTACTCCCATAGAGTCCTGGAAACCATCACAGCAGCTCTGCTCTGTCCTATAAGGTTGCTATGAATCAGAATCAACGTGCTGGCAGTGAGTTAGCTAGCTCGTGAGTTTCAAGGCTCTGCTCAGAGTCCCATTGTTGCCAGTGACCAAAGCAATTTGCTTGGGTGTGACCTTTCTTCATTGATGGATAACATTGATGAGAAGCCACCCATTTGTTTTTCAATTCATTTATCATTTTTGTTGCCTCCCTGATAAATGGTAAGAAATGGGAAGTTCCTGGAAGTCAGCCAGGACCAAGGATAAGTCTCAAGCACTCCCGGGTGCCTTGCTGGCCTCCCCGTGTCCCTCCAGCCCCTCTTTGATAACCATTTTGTGCAAAACACGGTGTTGGGCACTAAGGGATTAGCTCATCAGTTCAACTTGCTTCCCTTGTAGGAGGAAAAATTATTTACCATTTTTTTTCACCCTTCATTTATTTTTGCCCCCACCCCATCTCCTCTCTCCCCCTTCCCTCCCTCATCCTTGACCCTGGCCTCCTCTTAGTCATGAAAGTCTTGTCTATTGGTGTATAAGTCACGTGTCTTCTGCATTGTCTTTCTTTGTAACAATCGTGACATTAAATCTCTCTCTTTGGAAGGCTGACTGAGTTTACCATTGTTGCTGTGGCGGCAGGAGCCCGAGACCAGCTCCGAGGAAACAGACAGCTGCTGTCACGCTGATTCCAAGTCTGTGTGTCAGGAGAAGTGTGCTCCACAGAGTATCATGCAGCCCATTGTCCACGCTCGTCAAGCAGTGTCATGCAATTGCCACTACAGTGTCCAAACTTTCTCTTCCTTCTTGACCTCCTTGACAGCAGCTCACCTTTACTCCCTCCCTCGCTGCACCCCCCAGAAACCCTTATTCTGTAGGTGTCATCAATCCTGGGTTTCATATACCAGAAAACCATATAACAAATATTCAAGAGGGATGCCCACAATGATAAGATACATCAGAGATAAACTCCAATACGGAAAAAAAAAAAGTTAAAAGTATTGAAAACCTGATCCAGACGGGGGATCAAGTGACAAGGTTTTAACCGTTCAAGTCAGGTTTATCCTGTTGATCTCTCATAGTCATCTCTCCAATGCACTGTTTGTAACCAGTTTCTTCCCATCCCTCCCTTATGGATGGAGGGACTGACCGGAAGCTTGTTTCCTGCGTAGCTCTCAGAAATGGGTCTTGTGCTTCCAGTGACATCCATAGCCTTCTGCTAACCAGAATCTCACAATCACTCTGACTCCATTCTTGCTTTTCAGGGCTGGGGAGCTGAGTACCACCGCCAGGATGTCACAAGCACCCCCTGCTGGATCGAGGTTCATCTTCACGGACCACTGCAGTGGTTAGACAAAGTCCTGACGCAAATGGGCTCTCCGCATAACCCTATTTCATCAGTGTCCTAACAGCCCTCTTTTAAGCCAAGCCACATTCCTATAGAGTCCATGCTACTGTAGGCAGTTCGCTTATATAAGGGGGCTTCTGAATGCTCATGGAACGAAGGAAGTACAAGATGATGGAATTCTCCCAGGAACTTTTTTGAAGCCCCCTTGTATAATGACAGATTTAGAGTTAACAAAAGCTCCCAAATACCTGTAGAAATACATATAGCAGACACTATCCTTTTTCTCAAAGTGTTATTTGTTGTGTGTCTTCTAGTTAACCTGATGCCAATACAGTGAGACTAGAATAGCAAAGGACCGTCAGAAGCATCTTCGTCCACAGGAGGTACCAGGTAAAGGCGACTGGGCCAACGGTATTCAAAGGCTGTTGGCAGAGGCAAGGGCAGCTTCTGGCTTTAACTTCAGGCTAAGGCGTGCGGTGTGGACAAGCAGGAAAATACTAGAACTGTTTCCAAAGCAAAACCAAGCCCTAGGAGCACAAGAGCAAACGACACTGAGACAAAACAGTCCGACCTGTGTAGTGTAAGGCTCTCCCTTTGAAGGCTGTTGGCAAGCAGCAGCATCAGGCGTGTGCAGTCAGTGATGAGGGTAAGCCACAGCTCCTGTTTGAATGGTGGTAAATGTATATGTCACAATGAATCTGACATTTCCACAGTCTTCATCTGGACACCTCAATGACATGAACTAACTTCCGATGTCAAAATGCCTCGTTGGACTATTGTGGTGATACTAATGCTACATTGGAAACAAAAGTAAACTGTGATTGGAAGAGGAAAAACTGTGAAGCTTAGAGTCCTCTTGCTTCGTACACTTCCATTGCACAAGAACAAAAACATGCAAGACTGAAGTCGAATATGGGAACATGCATATGAAAACAGCATGGAATGAGTTATCTTCCAAATAGCGGGATTGGACCAGAACAGTCCAGCCATCACCCAATAGAAAATCACGTTCCCATTTTTCTGGTCGGCTGTGTCAGCAGCCCCGCCGATATCCGAGTCGATACAATTGGTATACACCGTGTGTTTAAATCCTGTGTAGAATCCTTTGGTATAATGGTTACATGTTGGGCTGCTGATTGCGAGGTAAGCAGTTCAAAACCACCAGGCACTCTGAGGGAGAGAGATGAAAGAGGCTTTTTACTCCAGTTAAGCGTTACAGCCTCAGAAACCCACAGGGGCAGTTCTACCCTGTCTTGTACGACCACTGGGAGTTGGCCTCAGCTCACTGGCGGTGAGTGGTTTTGCGAAGGAAAGAAGAAGCAGGTAAGGTAAAAGGGTTGGATAAAATCATCACAAGTTCACTTACGTTTTCTCACATTCCCACTTTAAGGTCTAGAGGAGAAAGCACCTTTTGGCCTTTTGACAAATATTAACTATTTACAGCCTACTAAAATAATCTAGACCCAGTGTTGAATCAAATTTATGAATTCTTTAGCCTAGTATCACTGTTGATTAGACCATCTACTGATGTAGTTTGGTAACCTCTCCTACAGCTGATGTCTCATCTTCCCAAGTAAAATGATAGTAATTTCATAGCCCCCCCCCATAATTATTGGAGAACAGTCATGCTGAATAATAGGAATACCTTTTTTTAAAACCACACATACTAAAGCCTGTGGGTAGTGGTAACTAGGAAGCTTCCCCACATTTTCCAGTACTGTTTATATATATAGATATACACATACACACACACACATATATATATACACATTTGTGTGTGTATGTCTGTATACATTATCACCCACTAACTGTTGCATTGCTTGGAAAAGATTTACACCCTCCTAAAATATATAATTTAAGATTGCCGTCATGCTTATAACAGACGGTACTTCAGTAATCCAAGAGGTTTCTTCACGTACACTTTCTGTTTGGGCTCTTTCCAGCATTGGCGCATATCATAGTTTCTCATCAAATTGTACTCAAGGTCGAAATGATCACGTGAAAAAGATATATGAGTGACCTTCTGCTGTCACCTCTCGTAATGATTAATGTTGTCTTCTAGAAATGTGTGTGTACATAATAGAAAATGCACCTTCTCTCTGGCATTAAACCAGGTGTGGCATGTGCCCACCTCTATGAGCCACACTAGGTACCGTAAATGCATAAGCCATTTGGCATTAAACTGTCACGTAGTCTTTATGAGCTCCTGTGGTTTGTGTTGGTGTCTTCTGTGTGCCCTGCTCGGTACCAGGGGGTCAAATGTAAGCACGAGACGGCCCCAGCCCTCGGGGAGCTGAGCTTCTAGGAGTAAGTCCATTAGTAAAGCGTCGTCATGGTTCCCAGTTTAAAGCAAACAGTGATCTTTCTTTTGCTTAGAACAAATATATGATTGGTTTCTTAGTGAGCTCAATCTTGAAACATTTTTTTATTTCCCTTCTGTATAGTCGGTCAGGGACAAACACTTCCTTGGGTAAATGCTACTTTTCTCCTCTGTCAGGGTTGTTTTCTTCCTCCCTTGCTTCCTGTTTCCCTGCCATTCCTCATCAATCCTTCAAGCAAAGTTGTGCCATTTGCCTTTAAGTCACATGGCAACCCTCCCTACCTGTGCCATGACTCCACAGGGTTCGTAGTGGCTTGTTTGTTGTTTGGAAGAGTTTGCCTGTCCTTTTTCTGAGGCGCCTCTGGGTGCTCTCAAAGCTCTGGCCTCCCAGTTACTATGACCTGGTTACCCAAGACTCTTAATCTCTCCTATCCGTCAAACTCAACCTCTAGTCGTTTCATCCTTGTAGAGCTAGCCCCAGCTGGTTGCTTATAAAGGACAGCGGGAGAGAAGAAGAGACCAAGGAGCACTTGTGTTCGGGGAACCTAGGACAAGAGCGCTACATGACCTCCAGTTATTTCTGTGACAAACAAGTGCTCAAGTTGGTACATAACGTAATTGCTAAACCGTTCCATAAATTATGAAATTGGCTCCTAAACAGCTATATTTCGCTCAGAGCCTTTATTAGGCTAGTTCTTCCCCCACCCCAACCCCCGACCTTGGGAAATTCAGAGGAGGTAGAAGCAATGAGAAGTAAACCCTTCAGCCATTGTAGCACAGCCACATGTTAATCAGCCTCTTTTCTTCTCCTGCCAAGAATTTGAAAAGATTTAAAACAATATTTGATTTTGGATTTGTAAATGTGCTTATTTAGCACTGGTTCTTTGAGGAAGACAATCCAAATAACAAGAATAATGTAATAGTACTCTTTTATCAGACAACTAGCCAAGTGGACATGCTAAGCATGGAAGTGCACGGGCTGTTCAAAACCTGCTTCGGCTCACCAGGGAAAAGGATCAGGTGGCAAGAAGGAATCAAAATAGCGTGGCCTGCTCACACATGCCAAACATTTGTCATGTTGTTGATTTTACTTTATTTTTTTCTGTTAATACTTGAGGTGTGAAAAGCTTGCTTTAGCTAGGTGATATTTTAATAGTTGACACTACTTTGGAACTCTAAAGATGTCATTTTTCAAGGGGTTTATATATTTTCTGGTTTTCATTTGTTTGTTTTTATATTCATTGTAAACCAGGAAGCTGGCCAAGAGAAAAGCACTTAGCATCTCCCTTTTTATTGTCTTCTAAGGAATTGGCTTTCCCCATAGCAATGACAACAGGATCATTTATAAATATCACTTGTTAGACTTTAAGCTCTTGCTTCATGTCAAATGCGTCTTCGATATTTGATACTATATCTAATCAGTGTAGCAAATATAATGTGCATTTCCAATTTTGTCTTTACTATGATTTAACAACTGAACTGCATGACAATTAAGTAACCCTGGTATATATTAAAGATAAACTCAAATTAATGTACAACAAACAGAAAAATAAACGTCTATTTGAGTGAAGTAATGCTTTTGGTTATAACCGGTAGATTTCAATTATCCTTCAAATGCATACTTGTACTGTTATCTGATTGTTTACAATAAAGAATATTGTACCTATATGGCTTTTGGCATATTTTTTTCCTATAAATCTCACAATGGCTTCGTTGCATGTGGGTAACAAGCTCCTAAGAAGTGAAGCGTAAATCATCCTGTTTTGAAAACAAAAATTTTTTTTTCTTTTGAGAAATGGGGTGATTTTAACATATTAAAGACTGGATATTTTTTTTACCAACTTACCAAGTGGCTGGGTATTTTTTCAGCTGTTAGTGTTTTTTTGCATTAAACCGTAAATGGGTTTACATCTCATCAACTTTTTATCATATTTATTTATAACTTTCAGTTTTTGAATGTGAAACGTCTCACATTATGAAACAATATTTTGCAATATATGCAGAACATTGTTTTATGAACTATAATCTTCATGAAATTATAAACTTCTTGTAAAAATAACAATACATATTAGTTTGAAAACAGTAAAAATAAATAGTTTATCAAACAAAAAATACATTCTTTGTTCCCCAGTGTTTATTGTTGATATGTTCCTTTGTTATACAATGTACTGTCATTACTGTACTCTACAACTGCATTGAGAAGCAAAGACACTGCAAATATTATCCCTGAAAAACTGTGCAAAAGCGATCTCCTCGCCCTTTGGTTTGATTAGTTGTGGAGACCTTATCCCAAACAGTTACAGTTATTTCATAGATTGTGGTTAGCATGGGACCTATATATAAACAAAGGTTCGTAGTACTTTTTTAATGTATGGTACTTTGTATAACATTTTTCTCCGTGAAGCGGTACCTTACACCATTTACAAATATACCTGGTTTCACTTCTTTTTCCATGGGCAGCACAAACTCGACAGGCTCTGGTAGGACATTTCTTTTTTCCATTGCTTGAAATGAACACAGGTTCGTGCTGCTTCACGAGTTAGCTCGTGATCCGTCCGTAACAGATGGCGAGCGAAACACAAGTAAACTCGGGATCCGTCTGCGATGCGTTAAAATCCAGCATGCTGTAGGGGAACTTGATACTCATCAATGCCATTGAATCAATTCCGACTTGTCGTGACTCAGGAGGGCCGAGAGAGCTGCCCTGGTGGGTTTCCAAGGCTGGAAGTCTACGGAAGCAGAAAGCCTCGTCTTTCTCCCACAGAGTTGACTGGTTTAAACCAAGAACTATCACTGGGGTTGTTTTTCTAAAGAACCCAGCCTCAGACAGTGAGGGGGGAAAGGCCAGGACAATTGCCCTGAGGAAGCTTTTCCAAAGCAACAGTGCACTTGCGCATTCAAGGATATCAAGGGCTCCCCAACTGTCCTGAATATGCCCTGACCCTTCCCTTTCCAATGCCCTGCTGACCCCCAAACTCAAGGAATGTTGAAAAGGAACATGATTTGGATCCCTCAAGGGTGCCCCAACTGCACTCCTGCTGGGGTGTCCATGGAAGCGTGCAGAAGTCTTGGAGAGCGGTTACAGAGATTGAAAGACCATCTCTAGGAGAGGGGGGGCGGTTCAAAAGTTTGTGGGGAAACAGAATAAAAAGACATTGGAATTTTTACATGATTTTTTTGAAGGTCTCTAGTAGAAATTAGGTAGAGACCTTCAGCAGGGAGAGGAATCCAACTCCACACCCGCCCGAGGCTGATTCCCACAAGACCGAGTCAGGCATGTCCCCAGTTCCCTGCTTCCTTTACCCTATCCTAACACTAATCCTCCCTCCCAGGGCACTCTGCGTTTCGGCTGGGTCCAGTAATTCTTTACACTGACCTCACAATTCACGAACAAGACTCCTGATTCTGGGGGTTAGCAGGGAAGCTAGCAGGTTGGAAATGTTTAGGAATGTTCTTTCGCTTGTAGTGCCTCTTCAGCTATGTTGACAGGCATGTCTCTCTTTGGCTCTTAGTCTCTCGGTCATTTGGCCTTGTGGCCTCTGTTCTGCTTGAGCAAGTATTCTAAAACTCTTTCAGCACTCACAAATGCCCAAACGGCACCCACTCTGCAAGCCAGCCTCCTGACCAAAGGCACTTGGCTTTACTCGTTCTGTGGGCTGGGAAGTCTGTTTCTCTGTCTCGTGGTGGTCTTAGTGCTGCTTCAGTGCTTTTCTGTGCAGAGAACTCGGGCATACTTCAGCCCTGGCTCTTTCTTGGTGGGGTTCTCTTCCTGCCTCTGAAATGGCTCACTTTATACCCAGTGGAATGGCAAAACTGAGCAGGTCCTCTACACCTTATTCTCACCAAGCCATTTGGTGGGAATT